AAATGCAATATGTGGTTTGGTTTTGTAGCTCTGAATTGTATTTGGCAAATGATTAACAAGAAAGAACTTTTTTTTAAAAAAATGCTTTTGATCTAAAGTACCAGGCACATTCATGCATTCTTTTTCTTCTGGGACTCTTCAAACGTCTCTAAAATGAGCATAATTATGGAAAAGTGATGTGATGAACTGGATGGAAAAGACATTACAAGGGACTTGTTAAAATTTCTCCATGTCTGGAAGCTTGTTTTAATTATAATTTGAAAAATGAAAACTTGAATAAGATGTCTGAAGTCAAGTTAGTTATCAAGAAGTGAAAACTTTTATGAAACAAACTTCAAGCTTACAGAGAGCAACATATTTACATTAGGAAACAATAGCAACTATACGCTAGGAATTAAAAAAAATATGGATGCTTAGAGTTGAGAGTACAAGACCTGTCAGTTACTTGGATAGTATTGTGGCCAGGAAGATTATGGCACTGATGAAGCTTAGATGTCTAGCTATAATAAGAAAGACATTGACCCCAGTTCATCATACATAAAGTTTGTAGAAACATTTATTAATCAATTTGCTTCAAGGTTTATCAAAATAAGAATGGGAAGATGTAGTTATATTCATATTGCTTTTACTTATTAGCCTGCAAGTGTATAGACTGGAAAAAAAATACATTCTGTGTTTCTTCTGTGCCATATCTGCTGGAAGTTGGGATTGAGTGGATGTGCCAGTACATGTCAGTACTTATCAGTAAATATATGTCAGTATTTATATATTGTAACTGTAGCCTAGGGAAGATTTCCCCAACTTGCTGGGATTTATGGTGGTTTGTTCAAGATGTTTGAGGAACAACTGGCTAAGAGAAGACTGATCTAGGGTATAGGCATGCAGATACTAAGAAACAGATACCTCAAAAAACAAATTTGTATATGTATTTGAGAATAGAAAATTGTGGTCTGTGTGCTTTATATTGCCATTAAACTAAATAAATAATAATAAGTAATGTTTAATATCTGAACATCTTCCATGAGAACTATTATAGTAGTCTATGTATCTAAAATAACTCGTGCCTCATCAAAAATACTTTTGCTACTCAAAAATGTACTTTGCTATTGCATTAATCTTCAAGAAATAGTAAGGAATAATAAATAGTAGGATAAAAGGTTACCTATGTAGTCCTCTTTATTCATGGATACTCTGCTTACCTCAAGAACACATTTGTCCAACCCTTTTTCCACTTCCTGCTAATCTTTTAGTTGGAGCGCGGATAAAGATTGCTCAGAACTTTGGAATAATCCTCACTCATCTGTTATGTTCTGAGGCTGGGAAGAAAATTTCATTTGATATGCCTGCCAGAATGTAGTGGTCCACTTGCTTTAAGTAAGTGGAGTTTACTTTCTTCTCCCAGTTGGCTCTTGGGACAACTGTGACTACTATCTACAGCAGGGGTGTCCAACCTTGGCAACTTTAAGACTTGTGGACTTCAACTGGCTGAGGAATTCTGGGAGTTGAAGTCCACAAGTCTTAAAGTTGCCAAGGTTGGACACCCCTGATCTGCAGTTTGGCTAAGGCATATACACATAGGTCATTAATGTGTATGCCAAAATAATCACTTACATTTATGACATTTCAAATTCAGTTTATAAGATTATGGCATATATAACCAGAGCTCCAGTATGAGCAAGTTTGGCTTTTGTCAGATTTCTGCTAATTGCAAGAGCTGGTAAAATAGTTTTGGAAAAAAAATCCATGAGGATATATTTTGCTATGAGCTTAACCCTTATGGAATTTTATTGGTAACTTTATTTTAATTCCTCCCTTTTCTTTGTAAAGGCTCTGATTTCTTGTGGTAACCCATTTTTCTCATTGAACCAAGGATGCTCTGACAGAAGAACCACGATGACGTGTGTTCTCTGTACAGCATCATTTCCCCCTTTTTCAGAAATAAAAAAATCTAGGACCATAGAAACAAAAAATGTGAACATTTTCAGTCTGAGATTGGTTTAGCTGAATGGTCCCGAGGCTGTCATTGCACAGATCAACTATAAGCTGTGTTTTTAATCCTTAATTATATTTTAAGTACATTTTTGGTGCCTTAATTCAGCTATTCTTTTGCCCTTGCCTGCTCCTTCAGAATTCTTGGGTGTTCTTTTCCTGTAAGATGCTTTGCAACTTCTCACTTATCTTTTTATAGCTGGCAGCATGACTGACTGCAAAGTATCCCTATTAATTTCAGTCATGTTACTACTTGGCTGGTATCTGTAGCATCTAACAGCATTTTGCCATCTCTTCTTATTTGATAAGATTTCCACGCAGAGCGACCCTTTCTTCTGAAATTATAGGGTTTTAGGATTTGGGGTTCTTGCAGATTTAAAACATAGAAGTTGATAGGTTTATGAAGTTTTGAGTGTATGGTTATGGAGAGTGGGAAGGGAGAGCTATCTGGCCCCAGCCTGTATTTATTAGTAAAGGTATTGTACTTTTAAATTGACCTGTTTTCATCTTTATTGGTTTTCAGCAAACTTGTGAAGACTGAAAGTCTCTTTGAAGAGTTTCCCACTTATTTGAGTTATTGTTAGCAGCCATTATTCTTTTTTGTATTTCTTTATACGTGTATGAACCACTGAGTCATTTTTTACTGTGGGAACATGCAAATATGAGAAATTAATAATCAGACAAATAAATTGATGGGCTGCTTTGAATTTAGGTATCGCATAATCCTCTGTATGTGTTTTTATTCCTTTGCTGCTGGTTCCTTTTTTTCAAGAGTTTCAGTAATGTCAGGTCCTTTGATCTGAGCTCAACTTCCTGGCCACTTTGTAGGTACTTTTATGCAGTTCACTGAGCAATAATATGGAGTGTGTTACTATTGCTTCCTTCTGAAAGTGGCTTCCCCCCCCCCCCCCCCCCCCCCGACAACCCAATCTAGTCCGATGCTCTTCAGACTAGGACCGACCCTACTTGACTTCCAAACCGAGGTATGCTTGACCAGATGAGATTCTCGGGTTCACTTCCTGTGAGAGGATATTAGCAAAATATATAACCCTAATCTTACATTGCTTATCTTCATGTCTTAATACTTTTAATGCTTGCACTTAGTGTTTTATTTATTTCTATTGTACATTGATAAAATAGAATATTTAAGAATAATCCTGAGGGATTGCTTGAAGGATAGACACGACCTTCAAATATCTTTCACCATGTGGATATTGAAGTGCTAAAATCAAATTTCCGTGGTGATCAATACATCCTTTGTGTGGTTAAGGCATATTTACTTTGCATTACTATAAAAATATGTCTAGCCCTAACAAGTATAAGCTGCTGGGCTTGAGTGTACATTAAGTTGATTTGGTTGAATGGTTATGTATTTATTTCAGTGAGTATGTTTGTAGAGTCAAATGTACGTATTCAATTGAATGGGTGTGGGAACCACGTAATGTCTATTTAAAAACATGCCACCTGGGAGGTGTCATGTGGGTGGGTTCAAGCGATGGTAGTAAATTCATGTTAGTTGGAGTGGGCAATGGTACCTATGGAACCGTCTTTGCCCCATTACATCAGCCTGTCCCACTGATGGCACAGAAGTATATGGCAGACCCTGCTGGCCAAAGAATTCCAAATAGAGACTTCTCTGCTGTTTGCCTTGCCTTATGGAACATCCCACCCCCCACCCGAGTTGAGGTCCCCCCCCTTCTCCTGACCTCCAGGGAAAGGCATTAAAAAATGATTCTTGTGCCTTGGTTGGGATGCACAGAGGAACACGCAACCATGGAGCTGGTTAGTGCCGTCAAGCTTTCCCCCCTGGCTTTTAATTACTTTCAATAATTCTTGTTTCTTGTAAATTTGTATACTGTTATAATGCTTTTAATGTTTTACTATACCCTTCCCAATGATCATCATCATTATCACCACTGCAAAGGGCTATTTTAAAAAAGCTACCTGTATTAGTGAGCTTCAATGGTTGATCAGAGGACCAGAAGAGAACTACTCTTGCTGTGTTATCTAACAGCCTTCTGGGGCAGGTTAATATTGAATTTGGAGATGTCAGGACCACAGCAATTGTTCATGGAAATGAAAAGAAATTTTTGCTTCTAGTCTCAACTTGTTTGGGCTTGAGCTGGAGGCCTGGTTAGTATTTGATTGACAGACCTTTGAGAATTAGCAAGCTTGTAGAAGAAGCTTGGAAATTGAGAAATGCCCCATTGTAGGCAAATCATGTCCTTTTTGTTGCTCAGAAAAATACATGAATATGTCAGGGAATCAATCTGACCTGGCAGAGATTTTACTGTTTTGTCATAAAAATGAAATATAATGTTATGCTTTTGATACTAGGCTAAAAGTATCAGCTTGTCTTTTCTTATCTTTTTTCTGACAACAATAAGTTTTCTGAAAATGTATAATCATAGATAAAGCAACTGAAATAAATTTGATCAGACTACTTAAAATTGTTCTGTTGAAAAAAATAAAAAGTGCAATCTTCTTCTGCAGTCAAATAACATTTTACCCTGCTGGTGATTTGAATTAATTTAGCTATGCACAAGCCCCAGGTGTGTGGTTAAGTTTCATGTACTGCAGATGCAACCCAAAAGAACACGTGTGCCTTTAATAAGTTACTGAAAAGTCATACAGGTAGTCCTCATTTAGCAGTTGCCTTGTAGAATGACTGTGCCCATGACCGTGATGAAAAAGTAGCATTGTGACCAATGCCTGGGTTTTCTCAGCAGCTTACTCGCTCTCTCTCTCTCTCTCTCTCTCTCTCTCTCTCTCTCTCTCTCTCTCTGTCATACATTTGCCATTACTATAGCTGAGGATGCGTTATGTCCTTATGCCTGACCTGTTTATTTTTCTTCCCCCTCTCACAGAATGGAGAGATTGCTGAACTTTTCTCTGCAGGTAGAATGTCTCAAAAAGTGCTAACTACAAGTTAAAAAGCTGAACTCTATCCTAGCTCCAGTTCCTACTGGATCTTCTAATATAAAAATCAAATCATCTGCAAACCACTTGTAACTTATATTTTCCTTTTTTATTTCCATACCTTTTATTTCTTTGTCTTGTCAAATATTTCTAGTTAGCACTTCCAAGGTCAGTATAAATAGTAAAGTGACAGTGGGCATCACTGTCTTGTGCCTTTTTTATATCAAAATTCTCTGTCAGGAGGTGCAGTTATATATATATATATGTATGTATGTATGTATGTATGTATGTATGTATGTATGTATGTATGTATATGTATATGTATATGTATATGTATATGTATATGTGTGTGTGTATATATATATCATCTTCAGGCTTCTGTCTTCGGCTCTTGCTTCTCAGAGTGATGTGAGATTGCAGCTGCTTCTTCCTTTTAACTGCTAGTGGGGGTGGGACTTGATTGGGTGGGGGCTTGGCTGTGCTCTGATTGGGTGGGGGTGTGTTCTCATTGGTAGGAGGTTTGGCTGTGTTCTGATTGGTTGGGGGGTTGGCCGTGTTCTGATTGGTTGGAGGCGTGTTCTGTTCAGGTGGGGGCTTGGTTGTGCTCAGGTTAGTCTTAGTTGCTGGGGGATTTGAGTTGGTGAGCTGTGATCTTGCTGTTTGGCTTCGAGTTCGTGGTCGTGCTGCATCTTCATAGTGGGTGTCGGTTTGCTTCATGTATGGCTCGGAGGGGTTTGAAGTGGGTAGTGATGCAGCTGCAGTGCAGCTTCTGGTCCATGGTCGTGTCTCATCTTCTGAGTGGGTGTGAGTCTGTTTTCTACATGGAAGTGTGATGGTGGCATCTTGTGTGGCTCTCATGGGTGTGGGTCTGGTGTCATTCTTCATGTTAGGTACTCGTCTGTTCATGAGGGCGGGTTTCCAAATGGCTGGAAGGCGGGAGGTGTCATCTCGTTTGTTCATGCTGTGTGGGCGTTTTTCTATCTCTATGACTTCTCTGATTATTCTGCTGTTGAAGTGTTCGGTTTTGGCTATAGTTCTGGTATTTTTAAAGTCAATTTCATGTCCTGTGGCTTTGAGGTGTTGGACCAGGGAAGAGGTCGTTTCTTCTTTTTTGATTGAGTTCTTATGTTCTTCAATGCGTGCACTTATTCTTCTGTTAGTTTGTCCAATGTATGTGGTAGGGCAGGCAGTGCAGGGGATTTCGTATACTCCTTGGTTTTCTAATTCGATTTTGTCTTTGGGGTTTCTTAGGATGGTGGATATTTTTCTGTTTGTGCAGAATGCTGTTTTAATGTTGTGTTTTTGGAGGATCTTGCTGATTTTGTCTGTAGTGCCTTTTATATATGGGAGGAGGGCTTTGCCGTTTTCTTGTTCTCTGTCTTGGATTTTGGTTGGGGTTTCTTTTTGGATTAGGTGGGTAATCTTCTTCCTTTGGAATCCATTGGCTGTAAGTACGTTGGTGAGAGTGTGTAGTTCGGTTTTTTGGTGTTGTTCATCGGCTAAGCATTTTGTTCTGGAGATGAGTGTCTTGGCTACGGAATTGATCTGTGCTGGGTGGTGGTGTGAGAGTGCATGTAGATAGCGGTTTGTATGTGTTTTCTTCTGGTAGATGGTGTGTCCTAGGGAGGACGTACTTACACGCCCCTCATTGTGTCCCATCATTGCATCCAGAAACAGGCTGTTGTCTGATTTAGATGTTATGAATAAGTAGAGATAAATGTCAAATTTCATACGTGTGTTATCGAGTTCCAGCCCTCTGGGGATCATTTACTTCCACTTTTTCATATAAATTCAGAATAAACCTTGGCATTGTAGCTTCTCCAGCATTATGGCCAGACTGTGGAGGCACAATTCTAAACTCTGAAATTTTCCCTGCAAGTAGAAGTGATCCAATGCTCCCAATTCACTATGATGGTCCAGAATAAATTCTATGGTTAACAGTATCAAAAGCTACAGAAGAATTAAGCAAGATCCAGTAGCATTGTATTCCTTCTATAAGGCTGTAGGCATCTTATTATATCCTCATGCCCAATAGACTGAGAGTAATATCATACTAACTAGGGCAGAAGGACTGGATACCTCAGTAAATATGAAAAACAATTTGGATGAATACAAACCATCTTGTCCTCAGTGTGTTTCATTAATCTAATAGCAGGTTTTGAAGGTCTCAGGACTAGTTTTCTAGGAACAGTAATGAATGAATAGGAAAATAGTTATTCAAATGGACACATATTAACTCAAATGGACATTCAAACTAATTTGAATGTTAGCAAATGTTCTGTGTGAAAGAAAAACTATAATGATTTTTTTTCAAAATGTCATCTGTATGTTGTTACCATAACTGCATTTTCAGCTCCTTCAAATACCAAAGCTGAAATGAATAGTTCTTGTATCTTTTAAAAATAATTGTAAAGTTATTATCTTTGATGAACACATTCAAGGCCAGCTCTGTTGTTTGCTGTTTTCATTGCTGTACTTGGTGAACTACCAAACATACCAGTGAGGTTTGCACAAGGAAACTTAAATCTTCATCTCATCATTTCCATAATTGACTCTAGCATTCAGGCTTTGGTTACTGACCACAAAATGCTGATAGGTCTTTCTGCCAGATGTTTTAATGGGATGAGCAATTGCTTGGAAAGCCTGCTCCCACCTCAAGTGGAGTACTCTTATCTGAAATAAAATTTGGTTATTTTGTATAAGATGTTTTAAAATAAGACAGTTTTATTCAAGTCAGCAGAACTAATCAGTTAAAATACAATATTGTAAATTACTTTGGATTACATTATGCACTTGAGATCAGAGATTTATCCACAAAAATGGAGAACAGCATGAAGTCCAGGATATGGTCTGCTGTTCTCCAGAGCCTATTTTGATCCAATTTACATTTGTTCAATTAGAAGCCTCCTTATGTTCATGGTTTAAAAGGTGGGTGTAAATTTGAGGGAAAAAAATCTGTGCACAAAAGCATGGAAAACAGGTCCATCCTCTTTGGGGTAATACAAAAGTCTCAGGTGAAGAGGCTTCTAAAGAATAAAGCTAAAAGTTAGTGTTGGTGAAGTACAGAGTGAGCCTGGCTTGTGGGTGGAGATGGGTGTTGGTTGAAGAATAAATCAAAGTGGCTTTTTCCATCAAGTCTTAGGGAAGGATGGTTGTATATCCCAGCATGGATTAAAATATTTTTGTTTCATTTTATCCTGTTGCTGTATAAGCAAAACAAAATGAAATATTTTTTTCCATTTGAAGGGTAGTTTCTCATTCTAATCTGATATGAAACATCATAGAAAACTAGATTAGACATTCTGTATTGATCTGGCACAAGTAAATGGATTACAGAATCTGGAGCTAGCCAGCTATTAACACTCCTGTTAATTCTGAAGGAGAATAGATGGTGGAGAGAAGCTTCTGTTCAAGTCCTTAAAAATGATCACCTTTTGTGCCCACACAGTAAGAAGCTCCTCCTTATGCTAGAATGTATTTCATGGGTTTAGTTACAGCATAAATATTTTAAATTGTTGTTTGTAGGTTCTCAGACACAGTGCTTTTTCTTATCATTAATATCTGAAGTTTTCATAACGGCACATTCTTTCATCAATGTGCACAGATGTTCAAGTTACAAGTTTTGATTAGCGCAGAATGGTTTTACCATCAGCTTAGCAGTTTGACAACTTCAAAGAGGTTATCCTGATTTTCTTTCTGTGACTGGAGATCAGTAGGAGACTTAATCACTTAATCATTCTCTTTCTGGTTTTTAAATAGCATTGAGCGTGCAAGGAGAGTTTTGCTCTGAAAAAGAAATGGACAGCGGTACTGTAAGCGCACTGGCCCCCATGAAGCTGCACGATGGAGAAATTAAGTTGCAGCCTATCTAAACTATCGTAGCAACATTGTCCAGATCCTTATGGAAAAATAGACTGCACATTTACCTTCACCCTTAAAGCCTTTTATTCTCCCTGCCTAGTAGGTAATATGACACCTTTTCACTTATGCTGACTTTTTAACAGTGCACCAAATTAATCTGTAACTTTCCTAATGGAAAGGCATCTCTGTTTGTCTTCACCTCCTAACATTCCAGGAGCATGTATGATTTGCCTGGTGCAACCAGGTCTGAATGTAAAAAGCCAGGCCTTAATTGGACTTGGAATTCATCCATCCTGTTCTAGTTCTACCATGCACTGTTCTTTTTGTAGCTTTCCTGATAGTCAGTAGAAATCCCAACCATGAGATTTGTTTTTGTTTTTTTAAAGTTAGATCAAAGTTTTGCAGTCTTTGCAATGTTGCGATATATGGATTTCAACTCACAGAATTCCCTAGGCAGCAAGAGAAACACTGAATTAGATCACTGTTGTGACTCCGGAGTTGGAATCCGTTCCGTTGGCAGATGGGAGCTCAAGCGAAGAGGAAATGGCAGTAAATTATGAGCCGGCTCTGTTGAGCGATTTGGATTGTAGTCAGGATGAGGAAATGGATATAACTAGGAGAGACGAACCTGATTTAATAGAGCTGTCAGGACCTTCGACCTCCTCTGATTCTTCTCCTCTGGCTGAGCAACAGCCAGGAATAGCTAATCAGGAACACTTGCGAGACTTTTCTAGTGGGGAGGAGTCTTTGGAAAGAACCTGGCTAGATGTGTGTAATAGGCGTAAGTTGAGGCGTCAATCACAATTAGGAAGGAGGCGTCGAGCCAGTGACTAATTAAGGAGATTAACACGCCCTCATAGTGGATAAAAGGAAACGGCTTGGCTGGTGAGCTTTGCCAGAAGCAAAGTGATTTATGGGAGTGAACACACGGAGAGAACTCTTTGAGGCTTTGGGATTTATAGCCACGTCAGGTTTGCCGGACAGAGTTTGGATTTATTGCTGAGGACTGGAAACCCTTCCACAGTCCTTTTGGGAAGGTTTGCTTTTTGGTTTGTGAACTGCCTGTTTCGTTCTGCCCTCCTGCAATTAAAGGGGAGACATAACAATCACGCACTAATATGACCATGGTATATTAAAAATCCAACTTTAATCTCCAAGCTGAGATGATATGGAGGATGTAGCGCATTCTTTTTTCAACAGTTATCTTTTGGCTTCAGTCAAAGTGGCTCATCCAGCCTCCTCTAAGACAGCTCCAAGTGTAGTCAACTAAATTTCCCAGTGTTTCTAGCCTCATGAGTCTGCTTGGGAACCATGGAGCCTACACATCTGACACATCTGGAACATTCTGGTTTGAGAAAGGATGGGCAAGGATTAGCACTGCTAATATAGAGAAAAAGGCTTTGTTAGCACCTGGTGTCCTACCATTGAGATTCCTCAAGAACTTGTCTGAAAGAAAGGTCAAGAAAAGGCAACAGAATTTTAATTTATAATGAAGCAAAGAATGCATTGGATTGAAGGTATTAATTATATAATTACATGTACTTCTCCTATGTGCTCTCCTTTGTCTTTACTTATGAAGTTGTGGTATTTATCCATTTACCTCTTTCATTTTCTATCTCACTTGATTCATCGTGGTATCTTTTCCCTGCTTTGATTTGTTGTGTGTATTAGAGAAGATTCTGTAACTTATGGCTAGCCACTGTAAGATCTATGCTTACGTAAAATATAATTTAGTCAGAGTTGCTAAAATTGTCTTTCTCGGTTGGCAGTTTAAAAGAAATAGAAAACAGGGAAGACAGCAGCATTCATTAAAATTTGATTAGGAAAAAGTCTTTCTGTGTTGAAGTTCATCAGAAAGTCAGTAGAACAAAATGAAAAATGAATTAGCAGCTCCGAAGTGCTATATTAGCTTTTTCCCAAGCTTTAAATATGAAAAAGACCAAACTTGAAAAGAGGTTGTATTGAGTACATATGCAAATTTGGGCCACATTATAAGAGAAGAATATTGCTCTGTAATTATTCAAACAAAGGCTAGATGGCCTTTTGCTCAACTTCATAGATATTACGTGGTGGTGCTGTCCAAGTGGGGGCCGCACGCTTTCGGCCTACAAGGTGTGGCCAGCAGGAGGAGGCACCACCGCTGTGTAAGGTAAGAGCAGCTGGTGGTGGTGCTGGAAGCCAGGCTGAGTGGGGCAAGTGAACTTGCGGTCCCCAAGAGGGGAGGGCTGGGCTGGGCTGCCGCTGCACCCATTCATGCCCAGAGTGGAGCATTGGTTAAAGGACAGTGCACCAGCAGCAGGCTGGGCGGCTTGCTCTTTTTTGGCCCTGCCGGAGGCGTTTCTTCTGAGCCCTGCTCTGGCTGCCCGAGGGGATGTGGATGGAGTCTGTTTTAAAGTCAGCTCCCTTTCCCTTGCCAGGGGTGCGGTGGAGGAGGGGGGAGCCAGTGCCCTTTGCGCAGATAGGAAAGTGGAGGCATCCGCCTCTTAGTGCGGCCCATCTTTCTTGTGCAAGAGCACCTGGGCCGCCCAACTGAAGTGGTGCATTTTGTGGCGCCCTTGCCAGGAAAAGTGGGCTGGTGATCCAGAAGAGATACGGGGCTGTGGGGCATCGGTAGACTAAAACGCACCAAGCAGTTGGGAGACTTTGGCGTTAAGATTTTCCTGCAAAAAAATAAATAGTACCAGATGTGTTCCTGGGACAAGGAGAAGGACTTAAGACTGGATTCCTAGGCTAAGCGAAGCTGCACGTGGGGCGCTCCTTTCAGCCTCTAAAGAAGCAGCCCAGTGCCTGGGTGAGGCACGTGGGGGGAAAATTAAGGCACCCTCAAAAAGATGGCCTAGCTGTTTTTTCAGGGGTCAAAAAATAAATAAATAAGGCTCAGCCTTATTTTCTGAGGAACATGGTAGTTCTCTTAGCCATTCATCATACAATTTAGCATCCAGGCTCCTTTATCATCTTGGTTGCCTTCTGTGAACTCTTGGGTCTTGGCACTTTTTTTTTACCAGAACTGGATGCAGTATTTCAAGCATGGCCTCAGTAGTGTAGTATAGAATGGTACTATCACTTCTTGTGATCTTGATACTATCCCTATGTTGATGCAACCTTGGACTGCAATGGCTTTTTTGGCAGCTCAAGCACACTGCTGCCTCATACTAAGTGGTGGTCCACTAGGATAGTAAAAGGGCCGAAAGCTCAAGTCTGTCAAGATTCTTCTGAATCTTGAGTCTACCTTGCAAAGTGTTAGTAATACTCCCAGCTTAGTGTCATCTGAAAATTTGATGAGCACCCCTTCAGTCCCCTCATCTAGGTCACTTAAGAAGATTCTGAAGACACTGGGCCCAAGATAGTACCCTACTACATGATTGTGGATTAGAACCATATCAGCTCTTTTCCAGACTTCTGGTAGTTCCTGTGTTCCTCAAATTCTGAAAGATTTCATTCAATAGTTCTGAGATCACATCTGCCAGCTCCATCAATACCTAGGGATATAAACTATCTGATCCCGGTGAGCCAAAGTGGATAGATGTTCTCTTACCAATTCCTTGCCTCTTTTGACGTTGCCTGTTTTGATCTCGTGTTACGTGTCCTATGATGCTGCTTTTTATACATTGGACTATTCTTTTCCTTTTGTATAAAGACAGATTCAAAAAGGAAATCAAGCAGTTCTGCTTTCTCCCTGTTGCCTGTCATTGTCTTGCCATCTTCTCCCATTAGTGAACTAGCCATGTCTTCGATTTTCTTCTTCTTCCTTGCATATTGAACAATTTGTTGTTGTTACTTTTGGCATTAGTTGCAAGTCTTAGTTCATTCTGAGCCTAGTCTTCCATTCTTGCAGATTTGGGCTATTTGTTAATACACTGTCCTTGTTATATGATCCTCTTTCCATTTTTTATGGAAACTTGTCATTTTGTCTCTGTTTGTTAGAGATTTTTGTGCAACCATGCTGTTTTCATCTGGATTTCTTTGTGTCTTTATTATTTTGGTTTTCAGGGTTCCAAAGTATTCTGAATTGCTTTTCCCTCTAGGACTTCTCTATCCATGGAATTTCAGTTTGCTGAAGTCAGCTCTCCTAAAGTCTAAAACACTAGCCTGACTTTGTTCAGTTACCTGTGCCTGTATTATGGTGAATTTTAGTATGACATGGTCATTCCCCACCAAAATTCCTACAGCTTTTACTTCCTCAACCATTTTATCCCTGTTAGCAAGAATTAAGTCCAGAATAGCTGACCCTCTCATTCCGTCTTCCATCTTTTGAAAGACAAAGGTGTCAGCTAGGCACTTCAGGAATCTGTTTGATGTCCCTCTCCCGGGGTGGGATTCTATCGGTTTGGACCAGTTCGGGCCAACCGGATGTTAAAATTACATCTGGTTTGCCGAACCGGTATTTCAACTGACTAGCTGGTCCTGCCCTGCCTTCCCCGGAGTCTCCAGGAGGCCCATTTTCAATGGAGGTAAGTGCAGGCCTGGTCCACAAGTAGGCTCTGGGAGGGGGAAAAACAGCCCTTCTAGAAATCCAGAAATGGGCCTGTTTCCAGCTTCTGGAAGGCCTCCAGAATCTGGGGGAGGCCTTTTTCTCCCTCCTAGAGGCCCGAGGGAGGCCTCAGGACTCTTGGAAGGGCAAAAGACGGCCCACCTGGAAAAACTGGAAGTCACAAAATGGGCCTGTTTCTGGCTTCCGGTGGATCTCCAGAGCCCGGGGAGGCCATTTTTGCCCTCCCAGAGGCCGGGGAGAAGCCTCCAGACCCTTCGGAGAGTGAAAACGGCCTCCCCCAGGCTCTGGAGGCCTACTAGAAACTGGAAACGGGAAGTTACAGTAGACCATGCCCACCACGGCAATGCGCACCCAGCAACTGGGCAGCAAACCGGTTGCTGGGATTTTTGAATCCCACCCCTGCCCATTGCTAAGGAATTTGTTACATGGACCAATTTAAAAGTTGAAACCCACAAATGTCTATATATGTGTATATCCAGCCAGGAAGTAAAACAGTTTTGGCAGCATAAATTTGTGTGTTCCTGAGGAAAGGGTGTAACTTCTCTTAACTGAAAGGAAAAGGTGTAAAATTGATAATTCTTGTAAGAGGAAATAACACGTCAAGTTCTAGTGGCAAACATTGACCTGTCTGGGAATTGGTTTTTCTACTGCTATAGACCTATGATATAAGGTTGATTTTTTAAAAGAGCCTTTCTTTTTAATTTGAAACAGAGTTTAAATGAAAGTGATTTAGAGTGGGGTCCCCAACCCCTGTCCATGGACCTGTACTGGTCCGCAGCATGCCAGAAACTGAGCTGCCCAAACAAAACCACGCCCCCCCCTCTGGTCTTCAGAAAAACCTCTCTTCACAGAACTGATCCCTGGTGCCCAAAAGGTTGGGGATCGCTGATTTAGAGGGAGTATATTCTGAAATATTCAAGTAACATTGCATAAAGACAAAATGGGAATAACCTTAAGAAATAACAAAGATGTTAATGACATTCCTTAGCTTTCTAGCTTCTCTGTCAAATAATTTTCAAATATATTAAATTTGCAATTCAGAGAATAAGAGCAGAAATGTTCCATATCCAAGATTATTCTGTCTTTCACATGGAAGTCTATAGAGTAGGGAGGTGGATTTCAATCACATCATAATATTGCTATATTAACTTTTTTTTACCATATTGTGCAAACGTTCTTAGCATCTTGCAGCTTCTTTTGCAGTTCAACTTCTTGCAGTCTTTGTGTCTTTTTCTTTGGGAAGAAACAATGAGAATGAATAGCCCATCCTTTCAGTGAAAGTTGCTTTTGCAAATTACTGTTTGCACTTCTGTAATAAACACTGTGCCTTTCTTGGGTATTTTAAAATGACTCACCTATGACCTTGATCTTTTTTGTCTCCCACTGGTTGGCTTCTAACAATTTAAATGTTTAGGTCAATGTGCAAATCTTCAGTTTTAAGGCTTAGCTCTAAATGAAATTTTTTTGCTTTATAAATGGCTTGCTTAGAATGCTTGGTTTGATCTTGTAACGATGTCATTGAACTACTTAAAATATTTTTTTTTTCTTTGCTGCTATTTTGAATGGTAATTGGAAACTAAAGAATTGCATCTCATATTTTGTCAAGGGTTTGTTAGGTTTGTTTATATCAGGGGTGTCCAAGCTTGGCAACTTTAAGACTTGTGGACTTCAACTCCCAGAATTCCACAGCCAGCAAAGCTGGCTGAGGAATTCTGGGAATTGAAGTCCACAAGTCTTAAAGTTGCCAAGCTTGGACACCCCTGGTTTAAATAAAAATATGTCTCCTCGGCTCTTCTTGTTCCTTTGGTTTAAGCTTGTAGACTGATATAAAAGTGAATGTCCTAGTTATTACAAAAGATGATACTACCTTAAATTCAGTTCAAGATAATGATTTTTTTAAAAATCAAATGTGCTAATACATTTTCTGAACTCATTATATCCTGGCCTAACATCCAGTTGTACCCATTGTTTTGAATGGGGCTTGGAAAATTTCAGTGTGGTCTTATCTAGGTCATCAATTCACTTTTGTACAACCTTGTACAGTCTGGTAGAGGGGATAATTTTAAACCCTCCTGACAGATTCTCAGAAGCATTCCCCAATAAAAGGTCATTCTGATTAACTCAACTAATCAGGTAAATTTCCTGAAGACGCCTTCCCCCATCTGTGGATTTCTTAGCACTTTTATCTAGAACTTCTCCCTTTAACCCAACTACAGGAAGACTCTAATTTGAAAGGATTTTGGATCCTCCAACCCCAAACCTGGGAGTTCGGAATTAACACAACTTCTGTCAATCCAGAATAACAGAGGTAGTCGGACAGTTGTGCATTTTTCCCTTCCCAAAGCCAATTCTGTAGATATAAAGAGATTGGGATTAGTGCAGTCAGTCTAATTGGACTGGTTACTCATTATATCCTTGAATAAGCTGTTGGGCTTTAACACATGTTCATTTCAGAGAAGAGAAAGGAAGGAGGGAGGGAGAGAGATCACCTTAGTCTCTTGCTAGGATATTCAGAGAGGACTTCCTTTTTGTTCCTTCTTCCATTTTAATTTTTCAGCAGGTGTCCTGAATTTTATAGGATGTGGAGGATGAGTGAAATCCTGTCCCTTTGGGAAGACTGATTTTTTTTTATTAGGGCAATCATAGTGCTCTATCTATAATGTCCTGGATTTAGCCAGCACCCTTAATAGAATAATAAAGCTGCAATCTAATTTTAATCAGTTATTCCTTTATACCAGGGGTGTCCAACCTTGGCAACTTTAAGACTTGTGGA